ATAGAAAATCTTGTCGATAGCAATATTTTCTATAGAAAATCTTATCGATAACAATATTTTCTATAGAAAATCTTATCGATAACAATATTTTCTATAGAAAATCTTATCGATATCAATATTTCCTATAGAAAATCTTATCGATAACAATATTTCCATTAGAAAATCTTATCGATAACAATATTTCCTATAAAAAATCATATCGATAACAATATTTTCTATAGAAAATCTTATCGATAACAATATTTTCTATAAAAAATCTTGTCGATAACAATATTTTCTATAAAAAATCTTGTCGATAACAATATTTTCTATAGAAAATATAACTTTCTTTTTAATTCACGTAGCCGGATATGCCCTAAAGTTTAGACCAAAAATTGTCGTGACAAAATCTTGTCGATAACAATATTTTCTATAGAAAATCTTGTCGATAACAATATTTTCTATAGAAAATCTTGTCGATAACAATATTTTCTATAGAAAATCTTGTCGATAACAATATTTTCTATAGAAAATCTTGTCGATAACAATATTTTCTATAGAAAATCTTGTCGATAACAATATTTTCTATAGAAAAACTTGTCGATAACAACATTTTCTATAAAAAATCTTGTCGATAACAATATTTTCAATAGAAAATCTTGTCGATAACAATATTTTCAATAGAAAATCTTGTCAATAACGCTATTTTATATAGAAAAACTTGTCGATAACGCTATTTTTATATAGAAAGTCTTGTCGACAACCATTTTTTCCAGGGAAAAATCTATAGAAAATCTCGTCGATAAACTATTTTGTGTAGAAAATATTGTCGATAACGTTACTTTTTAAAGAATTTTTTTCATATAAATAATTGGCAGAAAAAATATAACTTTCTTTTTAATTCACGTAGCCGGATTTGCCCTAAAGTTTAGACCAAAAATTGCCTTGACAAAATTAAGTGAAACCCCTGTAGGTTGGTAAATAAATCTTCTAAATTCGCCTTTCTATGTCATTAAAGAACAATAACATTTTGTTATGAATATTAACAACACACTGAAAATTTATATTTTGTGCTTTAAAAACATCATTAAAAATATAACCATAATTAAAAAGTGAAATTTTTTGTTGCAAGTTTTAAAAAGTGAGGAAATTAACTGGTCTTTAAATTTCATTTCATTGGCGAGACAATAGAAGAAAGCCAAGAATGAATGCTGTTTGGCAAAATTTCCAACATTTTAATTGTTGTTGTTGTTCTCACAGTCTTTTTTCATTTTTGTTTTCGGCGTCTGAATTTAATTTATGCGTCGAACATTGAGAGAAAGACTTAGAATTGTGTCATCATCATTTGTTTTGTGTAAAAAACAAGCGTGTGGAAGAGAAGTACAACAATGCCAATATGAATTTGTTAAAAAAAAAACAATATTGAAAATACAATTTAGAGAATCACACAGCGAGCTGACAACAGAAATCCAGTCATATTCTAGTCAGAGGTAAAAAGAGTCAACATCATTACTCATCCCCCAAAAACCAGCTCCGCATTGAGCAAATGTCGACGTCATTTGTTAAATTGTAGAGCAGGGATGGGATGTGTGATTTTCAGGAAAGGGTTTGCTGTAAAAATAGATTTTTAAGCAAATAAATTTAGAAACCTAAATCTGGGCATTTCACACCGTTTTAGATTTAAGAATCTGTCGCCAAATTCTCTCTCTTCAATTCTTTTATAAAATTAATAACTTTTATAGCTAAATACATTTTTCATTTAGTAATAATTTTTGTTCTTTCCTTACTGCTTAATGTTAAATTTGAACGAAAATTGTATCCCATCCCTGATTTAAAGTCTTCCCTCAGCCACAGCTGAAAATCGGATATGTGTCTAGCATACTCAGTTTACTAGTCGTAAAATTTTAAATAAAAGCTCAAGTGTTTTTCATGTATGTAAAGAACAAAACCTGAAATAATCAAAATACATCTTATTAGTATAACAACTTCAAAAATTGGCAAACAAACAAACAATGCAAAAAGTTTTTGTTTTGAATGATAAGATTACACAAATGTTATGTATAATCTAAAAAATCAAATATTATGAATGTATCACGAATAACGTAACAAATAATTAACGCCATTATCAGTGACAAAAATAACAGTAGAAAAATGAAAAAAAATCAAGACACTTTTTAAAACTTATATTTTTGATTGACATACAAACGCAAATTTAAATATTTCTCTTTAAAATTGATATAATTGATTTTTCGCTACTGGTATAATATTATATATATATTCAATCTATTTTTGTCAATTTATCATTGAAAATGTTAATTTTTTCCAAGAAGCATTTCATTAAAAATTTTGCTCACGATGTATTTTCAAACAATTAACATTTATGTGCCAATGATGCCATGAATCATTCTGTTTTATTTTTGAATTCTTGCGGGTATAGGAATTTCCAGAATTTTTTTTATTAAAGTTTGAACGAAACATATGTTTGTTTTTTAATTGTATCGAAATAGTTCTAAAACATTATGCGGGTCAAATCGTATGGATTTAGGGAATTCTATACAATATCACCACTCTTGGCAAAAATCCATGCACATGCCACACAACACGCGTAACAATGGTTCTATTGAGAGTCAAGTTCGATGAACATTTCAGTGGCGTTTAGAAAGGCCAAATACAAAAATACCAAACATACATGCGTATGACCAAAATTTTAGCCATCTTGGTGGATTACAATATTCTAGGTAATGAGACAGCAGACGAATTGGAATTGCGAATCAACTGACATTAAAGATGAGAATTTGGTTAGACCACTCCGATGCCACTTCTTTCGTGCAATACACACAATAATGTCCCTAAGAAAATCTGATCTATAAACTTCGAGAAGAGAACAAGACCGCTAAATTCCATGGCGAAATCTAACCTAAAAATTGAGGTGGGCTTCGTCACAGGTCACTGCAGCGCGAGAGCCAAGACTTCTAAATAGTGTAATGGCGACATTGTTTACTGTAGGATCTGCAATATTAGGAAGAAATTGAGAGAGTCGTACATGTGCTTTGCCACTGTCCAACTCCCACCAATGTGAGACACAGGTTTGTAGGAGAGCAAAAATCAAACGATCTGTCTCCATTCTCTAACACACATCCTGCAGTAATTATTCAATTAATCAGATAAGTGGCTAAAACAACGACACGATAAAGTTTTTCTCATGGACTACTATTTAATTCTATTATTTTTCCCAAATTTCTTCTCGAAACTTTAGAGAAACTTTAGAGGAATGGCTACCCTAAGTAACCGCGCGTTCTCTAACCTAACCTAAGGTAACTGAGTGACAGGCGAATATAGGGTCTTATATAATTATTGCGGTGAGTTACAAAATGCAGGAAAAACTTACAATACCAGCCATACTTTGGGAGATATGAAATAACCTGTAATGCGCAACTAATCTTAAGGTAAAAGAAATGTTTAAAGCATATCTTCTTATAATATACATATAATATTACGCGGACACAGACACAACATAACAAGCGACCTCCCACCAAACAAGGAGAAGATACATTTGTAGAGAATTTCGAAAGGTTCTATAAAATATTTCTCCATTTATTTAAAACGTATAAAATATTCAAAAACGGAAACATGATCTTTTGATCTTTTATTTTATTTGAAAGCAAAGTAAACAGAGTTGGTAACTTAATGTAAAAACTATAATTCTACGGAAAAAACTTTTCATAGCAAACGAAGACTTGGGCTAAAATTGGCTTCCTGCAGATAGCGACATACATTAAGAATTTTCAAAATCAAAAATGGTATTCTAGGCATTAGCCTAAATTCTTCAAACCCTACGTTCTGTGATATGTATGTACTTATATAGAGTATATGTTTGGGGTCGCGCTTGAATGATTTTATAAACCTTCAAACACATTGGTCTAATATTAATAAATTTCCACTCCTAAATGTTTTCAATTCCAATATTTACTATTTTTCCCCCATTTATTATCGTATTCACATAACCCTTATCAAATCATATTAAAAACAAACAAGAATAAACATACGGCAACACTTTTTAGGACATACGGCAACAAAAGGACAAAAAACAGGAAGGAAAATATGACAGCAAATAAATGAGGAACTAAGTTCAAATAAGAATTCTGCGGCGAGAGAGAGCAAACATAGGAGAGAGAACAAATAGGAATTTTTCGTTTGACATGTGCAATAGACAGCAACAAAAAAAGCACATCATTAAGAGGGGGTGGTGAAAAGAAATACGTCATCAATGATGCAAAAAAAAAAAAAAAAACAAGAACAAGAACGGAGGGAAGACAAAAAATAAACTCATTCAAAGGGCTGCCGCCGCGACTTCATTCAATGACATTAATAGCAACTAGACTGTGCTCTGTGCAGCTGATAAAATTAATGGGCATTGATTAGTGAAATGAATACTTTTTGACTGACACACAACGACAGCGACAGCAGTAGCTGCTGAAACTAAAAGAGAAGGAGGAGGAGGAGGAAAGTAAATTGCCACAATACTCCAAAATGTGGATACACGCGAATACACACACCATATAACACCATAGCTTGCTCATAAAAGGGAGTGGTATGCGGCGCAACGGGGAGCGGGGAAGAAGAATCCCCATACAATGTAACGTCAGTTAGTCGGCCAAACCAACCAAAACAATGTGGAACAAAAATTGCTATTCGAAAAGAATTCCACAAGAGGCGTTGTCTGTACTCGAACGGATGGATGGATAGATGTTTGGTTGGTGATGATATTCACAATAAACATACCATCTAAATTAGATGATGCAGAGCATTAAAACACAAAATATTGAAAAAATATAACACCATGTGTATGGGGAAAGTAAAAACTATGCAAAAATAAAAACTTCCAATTGGAACTGCAAATTGGCAAAGGTTTGACAGGCAGGGCTGGGTGACAGGGTGTTGTTATCTATTTCTGCTTGAACACACACACACGCTCGGCGGCTCACAACACATTTTTAACTTTTACCATATGGGTGACTTACCTCTTTTTATGATTCTAGGAGGTCTGCTGGAATGAATAATCCTTAATCCTGACAGTGACCGAATGTATGTGTGCGATGAAACGCTTGTTGTGGAATTTCTATTTCTTCGAAAAGGGTTTATCATACAATTATTTTATATAAAAACGGGCGTTGTTTTCTTTTTGATGTTTGGTAGAAAAATTTCACTTTCTTCTTTAGTAAATGCTTTTTTCACTAGAAATTTGTCACAATTCTTCTTCACTACTCTTTTTTCGGAATATTTTTTGCACAGAGATTTGCGCGTTTTCTCTTCGTTGATTTTTGTTACTGGTGCTTCAGGTTTTTGCTTTCGCGTTTAAACGTCAAAAAGTTGGTAATATTTAATAAAAAAAATTTTAAAATTTTTATTATTAAATTCTAGTTATTGTATAAATAAATGCAGATTTTATTTTCTGCAGTTTTAATCAAGTATTTATCAAAATTCACCTAAGTCTTGTTTTTTCTTCTTTCAACGAACGAATGATTTCTACTCACACACAGGGATATGCAGGTCGGTTTTCGACTAATCGATTTATCGACTTTTGGTGTTGAAAATCCAAAAAGTCGATGTCTACTTCTTTATGTGGTGAAAATCGGAATTTCAAGATTACGTAATCGATTTTAAAACCAGTGTAATCTTGTAATAATATCTGCAAAAAGTGGAATTTCACTACTTTTAACATAATATATCCGCAAATAAAAAGTTTTTAAATATAAAATTTTGCATTCATAATTTGATTTTTTCCTTTTTTATTACACTTTATTTTGACATCATTGTATCATTGGGTTGTCAGGGTTGTATTTTTCAAATTTAATCATTCTGTCCTACCGTGTAAGCATGGTAGAAGAATGATGTAGATTCAGGTAGATTCATCAACGCTTGGGAACATTGATATGTCAAAAAAAATTGAATATTTCTTCAAAAATAAGTAGACTTTTATATGTTTTCCTACATGACGCCAATCGAAAGTCGTTTTGCTAAGCAGTTTTTAATAATATTTAAAAATTATAATAATTGTTCATTCAAATATTTCCATTCTAAAATTGGTTTGACAGTTCAGTGTCCCAGCAACTTTGTCCCCGCCTTTATCTGCTTCTTCTACCATGCTTCTTCCTGAAATTATTTGCAAGTCTTTGTCTTTCTATTTTGGAATTCGTAAGCCTAATTGTTATTTTTTTTTTTATAAAAAAAGCTAAATATTTGGGTGCTTTCTTTCTTTTTATGACGGACAATTTTTTTTTTTTGCCTTGACAGATCAGATTCACAGCTTGATTACTTTTCACAGCTTTCTTGCAAAAGAGCATAAAATTCCCTTACTCCCTCAGCAAGTAGTTACGAAAAAATTTCTGTAGGAAAAGTAACCAAACATACCTAATTTTGGACGAGCCCTATTCAATTCTATAACTTAATTTTTCAAATAATCAATTTTTATTTATAAACCGAATATAAGCAATGACTGAATTTGTGTTAACGACAGCATGTAAAACATTAGAGAAAAAAGATCTTAACGAAGCAGAAGGGATTCCTAGCCATGATATTTTCAAAATAGAAAATATAACCGTTATAAAGCCACCGTTATTGAAAATTTTCTATTGGCAAAAATTTGACATTGATGGGTAATAAAAAGAGAATTCATTCATATTTTCATGAAAAAAGTAATAAATATGTTTTTATTCTAGATTTAATGAGAAACTGTCCTCGGATGCGAATCACATTGAACATAGCTTATATCTGCCAACTCGTCAATTGCAAAGTAAGCCCCTGAAAATAGTTTTCTGGTTACGGAATTTGTCATCCCATCACTCCTTGACCATAACTTTGAAACGTTTACAAAACTGTCAATGTGTGCCACTTGAGACCAGAGTCGGATTCAATCAATTTCGTTATTTATATCATTGTCCCCATAGACGATTGATAAATATTTCACAAGAAATCCTTCATTTACGGCCAAATGATTTGGTGGCCATGTCAATGGTGGCTTATTTTTATCTCTATGGATCGTATATGCTCTCCTACGAGATGAGGTTAACTAAGCTAAATTTATCTTTAATTGTGAATCCCATTTTTTAAACTCAGTTTGCAGTTGTTCGAATTCCCGTGTAATTATATGGAATTTTCATTTGAATATTGTCACTATGGATCCAATTGAAAGCGTCTTAACACGTGAATTGCTGCCAATTAATGTCAAGGAATATCGCCGCTTATCCCAGGCTATATGGATACGTAATATAACGGCACAAAATTTACAATTTCGTTTTAAGGCAAGAGACCGAGGCTTTTGTTTAATCAACTCCAATATGACAGTGCCTAGACAAAGTGTTTGGCCATTGATTGTGGACTACAGACCAAGTGATTTTGAAAATGATGTAAGAATTCAGGGAATCTTTTAGTGGCTTTAGTGGTTGATAATTTATTTCAATAGCTCTGTCTAACAATGTCGATTGATGGATTTAATTATAATATTACCTTGTCATGTAAAGGTACCTTGGATGATGAAAATGCTCTTGTCGAACCAATCGTTCCCATCAATGATTATGAATGTTCAGATTTTTTATATGTTTTGTATCCGAATAAACTAAATTTTTTCATGGAGCCAAATGAGGAACGTTCCCAGATGGTGGCTCTACATAATCACAATCAAATGTGCATGGAATTCAAATGGCAAACGTAAGCTTTATATACACATAGATTAAGGAGCCGTTCTGAACCTCAAATTATATTAATTCGTTTCCAAAATTAAGATTTTTATTCTTTCTTACTGCCTGAAGAAAAATCTTTCCAATTTATTAATCCAAATTACACGCACTCTTTAACTCTAGCTATTCCATAAATGGCTATTTCATTTTCACATTCGAACCCATACAATTCACTCTGAAACCACATCATTCCAAGCTGTGTGTTGTTCATTGTAAAACCTACGACAAGCCGTTGCATTTTCGCAATATACCGGCTGTGTTGGAAGTTCATCGTATATTGGATAAATCAACACAAATAGCCCAACAACTGTTGACGGAAATTGAATCAATTGACGATCCAAAATGGAAAGAGGATAGCTATATGGAACATGTATTTCTACATATAAATTTAAAAGTGAATTTTGCTGAAATTAAACCCATTGTAACCAAATCAGTGGAAGAAAAAACCGAATCAGTGCCATTAGTTATACCCATAGATGATGATTTGGCATTACCTCAAAATTCCAAAATAACAATATTTGAAAAACTTTTTTGGTGTTACCTATCCAGATCAAATCATATGCGCAATAATGATAAAATACCCTGTAATTTAAGTTACGACGAGGTTCTGCAACGTTCCCCAATTGATAGTAATGCCAGCAGAAAAATCAAAGATCGTTTGTATGTTTTAACTTTTTAATTTAATTTTTACTTTAAACATAGTTTAATTTGCTATTGTTCCTATATTTTTATAGGAAACTAATTTCCTTTATGAATTTCATTCTGGCTGAAAGCTGTCGTGACCTTTCAAAAAATCACCGTTTTGTACCTCTGGAAGTTTTGGATACTCCTTAAAATTTTCCTCTAAGATTTCGCATATACAAAGAAAATGGTAGCATCGAATCTCTTTGCAGGCATGATTGATGCGTTAAGCTGTGAGTAAAAAAGGAAAAAAATTAAAATTCTATATTTTTTTAACAAATTAAATAAATAATGGCATACTTGAAGTTTGCCAATCTTAAACGTTCTAAATAACGATCAATGGCAACAGCGGGTAAGAAAAGCTTACGAACTTCCTTTGGAACCTTGTCGGAAAGATTACGAGCCTGAAAAATTGAAAAATCTTAGTATAATTTAAAGATGATAATAAGAATAAGAGGAATGACTGTTTTCATACAGAAGTTCTGAAATTCTAATTATGATGAACACTATTTATATGGAACACTATAAGATTCCAGAAGAACATGGAATTCTTATGTTAAAGACCAGAGGTTGTGAATATGGAAAAGTCTACTTATAGATCTTCTTATAGATAAATTGCAAGACCATAGTATGTTGGGCCAACACATTATCACATAACAAATGGCCAGGCTAAATAGCATTTTATAAGGTTTTTTAATGAAAGTTAATGTGTTTTAGTTCAAATTATCTCAAGGACACGTTAGAACAAAAAACGCAGAATTCTCTTGGATTTCTTTCCCTGTTGATGACTTTTATATAAAAACCCTATATCAATAATTCCTTACCATTTCTAAATGTTGATGTGCCACTGTTGCTACTTCAAAAATACAATCTTCGACACCCTTATCATTTGCTTTCGCACGCAAAACACGCTCCTGACTTACACCATTCTTAATTAGGACTTCCTGTGGTATATTTAAGGCTTGACTACGTTTGGTATAGGGCACTGACCGCAGCAATGTAACAATACCTTGTGCTTTTCCTAAATGTGAGGCAGCATGATCCACGTTCATATCCTTAACGCCAGTTAATTGCACAAGCAGATATAGAAGAGAAGAATACGTTTGTTCTGCATATGTTTCCAAATCTTTTATTGTTACAAACGGTTCATTTGGTGCACGGTCGCGAGCGTTGACTAGACGTTTTAAATATACCTTATTTAATTGGAAGCTATCTATGGTCTGCAAATAAATCAAATTAACAAATTGTTTTATTGTGAGGAGTTTACATACCTTTTTCAACTCCCTTAACACCGGCTGATCCGACACATACGATTTTTCTTTGGCATAACATTTTTCTATGGAATGAAACCAGAATTTCAAGCGCATCTTTGCTATATGGTCCTCTGAAACCTAAATAAAATTTCCTAAAATGATCAAATGAAATTGTCCAGTTTTCTAACTGCTTACATTTGACGAGCATTTGGCCACCTCTACATTGAATGCTCTCAGCGCAAAGGCATGCCTACGATGGGCATTGTCCAACAGCAAGGTACACAAATAGTTCTCATGATCATTTTTCCTTAAAAAAATAACAATTTTTATATAATCACAAATGACCAACAATTTTTTTAAAAATGCACTACTTACTCCACCAAATTCATACAATATCTTTCAGCCGACTTGCCATTATTTGTTTGCTGATTCGTACCATGCTGTCGCCTTTGCTGCTGTTGCAAAAGAATTCGTAAATTTCTTAAAGAAATTTCAAAATTTGTACATTTCTTAAGAAATTTCATTTCAAAAATGAAAAACGTGAAAAACGTCCCAACGAAGCGAATATAAAGGCCAAAAAGCAATACTCGATAAAAAATAAACAGAAAGCAAAGACCCCGGTACTCTGTTGTTTACGAATGAGTGTAATGCATAACGCCCGGGTACTCTGTTGTTTACGAATGAGACATGAGAGAATTGAACATCTTCACTAAAGAGCTCGGAACTAGCTGCTACTTTTCCGAGTGATTAATGTATAATCAGCTGTCTTGGAAGGGGTGTACTTAGGCCATGGTAGAAGAATACAGGTAGTCGCATCGACACAGCTGCTGGGACAATGAACTGTCAAACTGATTTTGAAATCGAAAATGTTGAATGAAAAATTGTTGAAGTTTGTAAAAATTTTTGAAAAATACATATTATATCAACCTCCGATTTGCGTCATATAAGAAAACATATACAAATCTACTTATTTTTGACAAAACATTTTGAAAATTTTTACATATCAATGTTCCTAACCGTTGATGCATCTACCTATATTCTTCTACCATGACTTAGGCCAAGCTATCTGTCGATAAATCCATAATCGCCAGTGCCTCTTTTGCGATAACAGGGGTCACCATGTGTGGGCGAGGTTGACAGTTGGAAAGGAGAGGCTATGTAATCGCATCACTTTCCCATAAAACCCCCATCTAAAACTAAAAATATGATAGTTAATAAAGAAAAAATTGTATATGGAGAACTATGTATAAAATGTATATACAAAAAAAAAAAAAAAAAAAAAAAAAAAAAAAAACAAACACTACAATACAATTCAAATTCAAACACTACAAATCCAATTCAACAAAGATAACAAAAAAAAAATATTTACAATTCGAAAGTATTTCAATTCAAAAAAATAAGTAAAATAAACTACACTAACTACAATTCAACAATTAAAAATCAAAAAAATCAACAACAGAACAGAAGAAGATATTGAAAAAAAAAACAAAGCAGACACTATTAGAACAGAAATACAGCGTTGCATAGTAGACATTATTCAGTGGGCAAATGAAATTGAAAAAAAAACATAAATAAATTTCTATTAATTTCGATTGGTATTAAAAGGTTGTGATTTAAAACATTTCTCAGACCAAAAAAATGCACGATCAAGAGATCCGGTTAGTGTGATAACATAATCGGATCTTGCCTTAACATTAATTAGTTCTACAAAGGTAGGTCTTCTCCCACAACGTTTTCTAATCTCAATGAAATCACTTTCGAGGGATTCATTCATACAATTTTTAACTATTAAATTTGGATACTCCATAAACAGAGAAGACAATGTTAATAAACTAAATTGGAGCATTTGTGGAATGTTGCCGCATTCCACATGCTGTAAGAAATCAATGGCTTTATTAACTATTGAAATTAGTTCAAACTGTTCAATTCTTTCAAAGCAAAGTCTCACAATTGGAACCATCCCAGATATAAATTTTTTCGTTGCCTCTAGACTCGATTGTCTATCTTCGGAAAAATCGGAAAAATCAACTATATTGAGAGCATGAACCACATTTTGGTTAAAAAGTGCCGCAATTCTCTCCATAGGATCGTGCTCGAAGTTATATGACTTGTAATAACTGGGACATAAAGTGGTTTTTCGCAATTGTGGACTGTATTTATCGTTATAATTTAATTCGGAATCTAAATTGAAAATATGTAACAAAAAATCAGGAGATGCGACGTCCTGTTTTTTCCCCAGCATGTTTTTTATATATAGACAATGTTCAAAAAAGTTATTAACTAAGGAATTAAGCATGTGGGGAATGTCGTATATACAACGCGTACCGTCTTCGGCGTTTGGAGGAAAAGGAATAATGGCAACATTCGAGCCACGATATTGCTCAACAAATTTATACTGGACGGGATATCTGTCGCAAATGCAGATAATTATATTCAATTGCAATGGCTGCAGATTCTGGAACGCCATTAAAAGAATTGATTCCAGTAATAATGTGTTGTATTCCTTTGTAAGAACGAATCCTTCAAGCAACCTCCAATCACTATTCAAGCCAACTAACTGCAGTCCTAAAGCATATGTAACGGTGTTATTATCGCCAGTGTCTGTAACTTTAAGTTGGTCAAATTGCAAAGCGCAATGACGTTGCTCTTCCGTCATATCATTGAAAATATTGCGCAAAACACCAATTACGTTGTCATCGAATCCTATTGCCAGAGGTTTAGTTTGACGACTAAAAACGTAATCAGGACTGAGTAGGTTAAATTTCAATATGTTTAACATGTATGCATACTGACTCTTTGAAAAGAGATACACATGTTGTAAAACCTTAATTTCCTCAGCGGTGTTTGGAGATGTAGAGCAGTTGCAAATGACACGTGAAAATGCTTTGCTCGAATTACTGGCATCTGTTTAGGGGAAAATGCCAACACCACGAAGACTATCAATTTTTTTTTTTGAAGATCCCCGATTTTTTCTTCACAAACAACCACAGTGCCTTTAAGACTTTCGTTTTCTTGCTCGAGGGAACGAACTTTGTCTTGAAGAGAGCTGTTTTCATTTCTAAGGGAAGAAACCTCTGCTCTGAGCATTTTAATTTCATCCCTTAGAAGTTGTCCCTTGGTTTCTAGTTTTTTATCTTCTTCCGATCTATATTCAAAACTACATTCTGCGTTATATTCTAAATTAGGTACACTTAAACTTCCATTTGCAAATCCTGACGTTTTCTCCCCATCACTACATACTGTGGGATCATCTAGAAAAAACCCAATTTAAAATTAGTCTTAACTAATTTAATATTCTATATAAATCGTATTAAAAATTACATTTGATTTTTATTTCATAATGCAAGTGTTAGAGTTATATGTCCTATAATATTATAATATAATGTATATTTTATTGGATTTATAGTGCTAGAAAATCTTGAATAGAGCCACATCCCTTTTTAATGTTTTTCCATTAATTAATAGTAAAAAAAAAGTTCACATTGAACTGCAGTAAAATTTTATATTAGAAAAGTTTAGGAATGGAATTGAATCACACAACGTCATATCGATATTGATACTAGTAATAGAGTCAAATCAGTGGCTATTTCCGATTCCTGTTAAACCATAGTTGTAGGTACAGAACTCGAAACAAACAATTTAATAAACCAAATAAGCCACGTTTCTAATTATTTATTGTATTATTTATTGTTATTGTTAAATCATAACAATTTTTAAATCATAACATCAGTCCTTACCGACGAAGGTGGAAACCCTGTTTCACTTAAGCCGAGTTTTCATAAGTGAACCAGCGTTTTTAACTTTAAATGCAAATAATGAAGAATATGACTAAAAGGGGGCTAAAAAATGTATTTATGAATATTTTGAAGTTGTTGGAGTATATGTTCCTAATGGCATGACTTCCATATTTACATAAATATATTTTATATACAATTTGATATTTAAGTCTCGTCATAATATAACATGACTTATGAATCCATATGTACTTCGGTACAGGTAGTACTGATGTACAAATAAATAAATATAAATATATAAAATAAAATAATCGATAATGATTTTCCTTAATATTCTCGATTTCATAATCAAAGAACTACTCGACTTACATTCATCGATGGTCATAGCTGTCGTCTCAACATCTACTGTATTGAAGGCAAGTGGAGGTGGCAACTGCAGACTAGGTACTGCTGTCGATAGCAGACGCTTGGATCCAGTCATCATATTAGCATACATGCTTGCCTCAAAATGTTTTTCGCAGATTTTTGAGCCACCATTACAGCTTATTCCATAAAGATTTTTCAACATTGGTTTCCATCCATTTTTTACAGCATGGAAAATGTGTTTGCTGTTGCCATTTTTTGAATTATCGCACACTGGTATGCAGCAACGTCTTGGAGGTGGCATTCCTTTGAAAATGAAATACAACGCAAAGCTTAGTAAGAACCCAAGGAACGCTTATAGTCATGATTGAATTTGATTAACGAAGCACTGCTTCGCCTCCAGTTTAACACATGATAGCATGGCCTACCCCCCTTCCAAGATAACTGTGTCAATCAAGGAACAAAAGATAAATAACAAATGGTCCCTGTTTTACCGCAAAATATGAAAATATGCATCTGCTGTTTATTCAAAACAAATACAAAAATGTATATGGATTGGCAGAATATGGACCATTGTGGTCATTGTACCATGTCATCCCATATCATGGGACATGGGGCACTAAAAGAAGTAGAAGTAGCTTTGTTTGGCTGTGTCGTACATTGATTTCATTCACTGCAGTATACGGTTCCCCTTCCAAGCCTACCAAATTTATGTCAAAATGCAATTATTGTGATTGAATTTAAAATTTTCTATCGTAGTTTGACAGACATGGTAGAAAAAGAAAAAAGAGGAAGGTAGTCGCCTCGACACATGGCACTTGGTTTCAAAACAGTATTTGGAATCCATGATGTCCAAGGCCCATTAAACCCATTAAAAGTTTACATAGTCGTTTAAGTCGCACTAAAACTACAATTGAGATCATAATGTCTGTCAAAGTGTTATAATTATATTTAATAATAATAATAATGACATGTAAATCGGCTGTTCGTATCGGATGACATGCTATGGATACATATTCAATAGAACCGACCATTAAAGAAATCTTTCGTCCTGTTTTTAATGAAAATTTAAAATAAACAAGTAAGCAAAGGCTATATTCGTGCGGGGCCGACCATGTGATACCCTACAACACTACCATATGTTAGAAGCCCCCTTACTTCTTCTTTGTCTTTAACTCTCTTCTTAAGGTAAGGTCACATTGGGCAAATATTTGACGAAAAATGTCAAATATTTCTTTGTCACAATCTGACCATCAAATATTATTTGTCGGTAAATACAAAAACAGCTGATTTTGGGGAAACAAAATTATTTGCCGGAAAACAAAAATTTGACCAATGTGTCCATAATGTGAACATATTTGATCAATTATTTTCCTATTTTTTGGTCAAACATTTATTTGACGGTGCAAATGTTTTGTAAGGTCAAACAAGGAAAATATCAGTTTAAAATATTGGGCAGCATTTTGCTTAAACAACAGGAGCATTTGTAGCATGATGTTTAATGAACAGAAAAACAAACGAATGCAATAAGTGGCTTTGTTTATTTGATATTTTGAACTAACTGAATTTAGGTGTGTCTGGTTACCCTAAAATTTGTAACAATTGTTACTAATTGTTACACTGCCTTTACACGGTGACATTTTTTAACCATGCCATTTTTTTTGTTGGTAAAAGGTGTAGAGAGACAAGGATAGAAGAAAAAATGGCACGATAAGCCACCGCACAGGGTTACATGCCATTTTCTTTGCATTTCTCTTTTTGCTTCTTCCGAATTTTTTATGATTTTGACATTTCATATCGTTTTTTTATTGTAATTTTTGATGCGTTTCTTTTATTGTGATGTGTTTAGTGATTGAATTGTATAGTGAATTATATGAAAATTAATTGGAAGTTTTAAAAAGTAAAAAAAGAAAGTTAAAATAAAAGTCAATAATTTTAATAAATATGTGGACCAGATCGACAATAACTTTTTCCATCATTTCTTATTTAGATTCACACATTTAATTTTAAATCACTTCTTTATAAATATCTGTTACAAACAATTAGCACAACAATACAGCTCTATACGAAATGCTGAATAAAATAAAATGTCAGAAAAAATGCCAAGCACTAATGTCATAAAATGCCACCGTGTAAAGGCGCGAAGATTTACGCAGAAATTTTAAAAGAGAATTGATAAAAATGCCAGCTAAAAATTGCACCGTGTAAAGGCAGTGAAACTCGACTATGGACTTGGGTGAAAACCGAGTACTCGACTATTCATAGTCGATTGTTCGACTTATGCTATGTTCTCATTGCACTTTTAATCACGTTGTTCGTTCTCAGAATTTGGTACACAAATTAACCCGTTCACACGGCACGATTCGTAATTCATAGTAACATAATTCCTTTTATCAAATGTTTTGTTTGTTGATTTTTATAGGAATTTGTGCAAAAGTACATTAATTTAGCATTAATAATTATAGAAGAAAGTACAATAATTAAGCATTAATAATTATAGAAGAAATTATTGTTTTTCATCCAAAGATGTATTTTATCTTTCATTTAACAATTTTCATTCATGTTTTGAACTGAACTGTATAAATGTTTACATTTTACATATATTTTTGAGTTTTTCTGTTTTTAAATTCGGTTGGAGAGTCACAGTCAAAATTTTTTTTTGTCGATACAAGAATTTTGAAAACATTGCCTCTTTTGTTTCCAGATTTCTGTGGAAATTTCAACTCGTGGTCAAAATGCGTACCTCGGATGAGAGGAAACAAAATTTACTTTCGTTTGAATGCACATACACCATTCAACATTATATCTTTGTTTCATAATTTTCAGTCTTCTTTCTTATGTGTGTATGCTGTTTGGTTTTAACTTGAAAGTTTGGTTTCCACGATTTTCTAGCGATTGCTTGAAGTGTTGAGAGATTGGGACCAACAGCTAACAACTATACATTCAGGGGAATGATGTGAAAGCATTAAAATTAAATGTTTTAAGAACTATTCTTCTGTATTTTCAATTTAATAATAACTTCAAAAATATACATTTTTGAAATTAAAATAATTTATTGAAAATTAATTATTTTGTTTCATTAAATTTTTTTATTCTGAATTTTTAAATGTCATAACTTTTTTTCGATAAATGCTCTCATTTGTTAGGGATGGCACACATTTCACCGTAGTTCAGCGAGTGATTTGAATGGAACAAATAACAAAAATCTTTGTTCGCTCAGCAAATTTTGTGTGGGGAATTAGGTAGATATTTCTTAATTAATGGTCGAACAAAGAATAGAGAGCGAATCACGTGCCATGTGAACTAAGCATAATGTAGCGTTTCCACTGCACTTGATTCGCTCTCTATTCGTTGTTTGACCCTTAACTATGAAAAAACTACATTATTCTTCACAAAAAATTTCCTGAGCGAACACTCAAATTAAATCACTCTCAGAACAACGAAAAAATATGTCCCATCCATGGTAGAAAAATACAGGTAGATGCATCAACGCTTGGGAGCATTGATATGTCAAAAATTTTTAAATTTCCTTTCAAATATAAGTAGATTTTTATATGTTTTCTTATACGACACAAATCGTGGGTTGTAAAGATATGCATTTTTCAACAATTTTTACAAGTTTAAACAATTTTTCATTCAACATTTTCAATTCCAAAATTGGTTTGACAGTTCATTGTCCCAGCAGCTGCGTCGATGCGTCTACCTATATTCTTCTACCATGGTCCCATCCCTAACAAATGAGAGCATTTATCGAAAAAATAAATTATGGCATTTAAAAATTAAAAATAGAAAAATTTAAAGAAATTAAAAAAATTCTTTGGGAGAAAAACAATCATTTCTTCTATTCATATTAGTGAAAATTTCATGTATTTTCGTATAAATACCCAAACAAAATTTTTGAAAAAAGGAATTATTTTACTATGGATTACGAATCGTGCCGTATGAACGGGTTAATTCGTGTACCTAATTCTAAGAGCGAACAACGTTGTTCGGTTTCCAATGGAAACATGCTATAAGCATAAAGGTATAATACAATTGGTCTGTTCCAGAACAGCAGGAATGTAAACATTTTCGTCACGATAACCGATTTTCCTTTTATGATATCGAAAACTAGTAGACTGTCTGATATCGAAAACTTTGACTGTCTTAAGTCATCGGCTGGCTTCTTCGTAGAGGAACAAAGAAGTTTTAAGTTAACTTAGTTCGCTTTTGGCCCTACCATGGCAGAAGAGAACAGGTAGATGCATCAAGGCTTGGGAGCATTGATATGTCAAAAAAATTTAAATGTTTTTTTCAAATATAAGTAGATTTTTATATGTTTTCTTATACTACGTCATTCGGAGGCTATTACAATTCGCATTTTTCAACAATTTTTACAAATTTAAATAAACAGATCATTGTCCCAGCAGCCGTGTAGATGCGTCTACATATATTCTTCTACCATGGGCCCTACGCTCCTTTGTTCTTTTTCTAAGAAGCGTTTTATGTATTCTCACCTTTAGTACTTTTGGGGTATACTTTTTATAAGACTACTTTAATGGATCTTTAAGACTTAAAAAAGTGAAACTTCTAAGACTACTTAAAACTATCTGTAGTAGCCCATCATTTCTAAATCCCACTTTCAAGTGCTACTAGTTTAAAATGATATAAAATGTCAGTCAGCTGATCTTTGTTAAAGTATACATACGCGCTTGTTCATTTATGTATGTATATTATAAAAAATGAAACAATATAGGATCACTCGGAGTCTGTTAACAGCTTTTGTAAATAATGTAAATAAATGATACTCTAACACAGTTGTCAATTGTGGCCCGGACTACAATAATTGTATAGTTAGAATCGAAAAGCAGTGTTGTGTTCCAAAATATTTCGATTTAACATTGCACTTCAAATTAAGTTGTATGTTAATATAATTTTCTTTGGCAAATTATTGTAACCTTGGGAACATTAAGCACATAAATCGAGATAACGCTTTAAACGGGCTTTTAGTCCTAATAGCGCAGCCCATTTTGAAAATATTTGTGAAATCAGCTGGTTTTATCGGATGACCCATGGCGCGATACGATAATAAAATATATTGCTTGGTGCTTGTAAAATCATATAACCTGAAATAGCACCTTATCACGATAAAGCTTTTATATACCAACATGTTTGCAATTTTGCAAAAGGAACATACCTACATGGCATGGCAGAAGAATTCAGGTAGATGCATCAACGCTTGGGAGCATTGATATGTCAAAAAAATTGAAATGTTTTTTTTAAATATAAGTAGATTTTTATATGTTTTCTTATACTATGTCAGAAGGAGGCTATTATAATTCGCGTTTTTCAAAAATTTTTGCGAATTTAAATAATTTTTCATTCAACATTTTCAATTCCAAAATTGGTTTGACAGTTCATTCTTCTACCATGCTACATGGCTATTGATTGCAGATACATTGATGTTAATTTTAATTCAATATATACGGTTTGAAGCGCATATCATCCGAAATTGTGATGAAATAATTGCTGTCGCCTGTTTAACAGAATTTTAGATCATGCCTTGCATGTCGTTTAAAAGTGTGCAACGCAATTGTAAACTGGAGCGTGTATCATATTAATTGATTCATAATTAATTAATTTAAAAAAATTGGTAATGAAATAAGCATCATACTTAAATTTGCTAGCCGAAAAAGATTATATTATCATAATGGTTTATTATTGAGATTCTTTTCTCAACCCCAATTATAAACTAAACTAGAATCATGTATATTTGTAACATTATTTTTGGTAAATTCTATTTTACACGTGTAAAGTCCTGCGAAATTAAATGGGAGTTTTTGGGGTCATAGAGAACCGAAGAAAAAGTGTAATTTACCTTGTTCGAGGATCCAAATGGTATTTGACCTATAAAGACTAAACTAAATGGAATTCAAACACTACTCAACAACTAAAACACTGAAAAAAATCCTTAAGCCAGAAGGTATGAAATCTAATTAAAGACTCGGGAAAAGTTCAATAGAAATAAAAATGTTTTTGTTAAATGAGCTTCATTCTATCCCCAGTCTAAAAGTTACAATTACATAGGTAATGTCATGCAATCGTAACATTACAATTTTGTTATTTAATGACATTAAAAAAATTATATTTTGTAGTTCTTCCTTAAATATGGGCGTACAACTGGCAAGAAATTTAGATTTATTTCCGACCAAATATTGTGTCATTCTCACGCCTTTTATTCTCTATCTAAGCCAGAAAACTAAAAAAATGATAATGGAATGGTTAAAATTTGCTTCAGAGTGTCATTCTGCTGCAGCTAGGACAAGTTGAAGATCGACAATATCCCGCCTTGCTTTGCTATAATAGTGAGCAACGATTGTCATTACAGGAAGTTGCCTGCATAAGTTTTCGTTTTAGTACCGAAAGCCTATATAGGCATTGTAAAAATTTTGGCAATAGCCAGCTGGCTATTATGGATATTGGTTCTTAAAGGCTTTTTTACAATAAAACATTATTTGAGGTCTACACAGCAACTAATAACACCAAGAAGGTTTCCTCAAGACAAAGGGTCTAAAATCTATATTTTTTATATGTTTAAACCCTTAGTAAAATTAGGAAGGTAAAACCATTTCAAATAAGCGTATCCATATCTGCATTTTCTGCAATTTATCTTGTTAAATTTCACTGCATAGAAAACAGGTTCCCATGTATGATTTGTGTGTGTATAATGGATTCACAAACATAAATTTTGATGGCAATGAGATGTTGTCAAATAAAAAATTTTGAAAAAAAAATGTAATCATTAGATTGCATGACATTACTGTGTCAAAGAACGCCAAAACAATAAATTATTTATCATTTTTGTAAAATATGCCACGTAAATATTTTAGGTAAAAAATAATTCTAATTTGAAAAATGACAAGGTCGAGCTCATCTGTCTTATTTTCTGTCAAAGTCAAAATACATAATTGTGATTTGAAATTCAAAGAGAGTCAAATGACAGTAGTGTAAAAATGTATTTGTTTGTTAGCTTTGTTTGGTTACAGAACTGAAAGAATGTACAATTTTATACTACTATTACCTTTTATAACTTTGCAAAACTAATACAATGGCGCAACTATAAGGTTCTCCTTCCAAGTCAGTTGACTACCGCATTTAATGCCAAAATGCATTATTGTGATTGAAATCACAGAACAAAAGATCAACGAATAGCCAACAAAGTGCAAACAAAATTTGGCATTCCACCTATTTTTTTTTTAATTTGCACCTTTTTATTGTTTATGTCAAATGTAGTCTTCTTATATGACATTGTGTAGGCCTTGGTCATGGTACAGTAGGAGGTATAACTACTTCGTAAAACTACCGAAATACAGCCCTGAGGCTATGCTCGCTTTTTGTCAGAACTATTCAACATTTTATGCAACAAGTAGTTGTCAATTTTTGATATTTTCTCTTATTTTGTGAGCGAGTAAGCAAAAGGGGGAAAGATCAATGAAATGCCTGGATTTTTTCTCAAAAATATAATCGAAAATGTTCAACATTTCAATTACATGACAAAACTGTTTAATATCTTTAATACTCGCCCCGCAATGTACATTTCTTTCAATCGTGATTTTTATTTTTCAAAACAATAAATAAATACAAAAAATTGGCAAAAGTCGGGCACTCTTAAAAAATATTCTTACCGTTTTATTGTATGGCCTTGGTCGAGTTCGTTGAAAAGGGTTGCCATATTCAATTTAGCACAAGATAATGCCTCTATTGTCTTGCTCATGGTAGAATTAAAAAGGTAAAGTCAAGCAATCATATATTTACAATTTTTTCAAAATAAATCACTTGACAACATCTCATTGTCAAAATTTATATTTACAGATCCATTGTATATATACAAATCAGAGATAGGAACTTTTTTTCTTTGCAGTGCAATTTGACGAAGTAAATTATTATTTTAAATGCTTATTTTAAATGACTTTACCTTCTTAATTTTACCATGACTTTGCCATGAACCACAAACAAAAAAAAAAATGGTTAATTCTCATAACAAAATATTGTTATTTTTATTCATAAATAATAGAATTTAATTCTTAATATGTTAACTACTACAGCTAGTAAAAGTAAATGCATTAAACTTAGTCTATATTGTTTATTTTTAAGAGATTTCAAGCATCGCGTACTAATCCCAGCCATTTACAGACAAAAAATTTCCACTCTCTTTAGTACGGAATTTCTCCAAGTAGATTATTTTCGATTATTGTATTATCCACCTTGTAGTGGACTTCACAGAATTCGGCAATACGAGCACAGGCTTCTTCAATCATCTCTTTGGGAACAGTTAAGACGATACGCACAAAATTGGGATATTCAAAACAGCTGCCAGGCAGACAGAAAACACTTTGTTGATTCACTAACTCCTGAACGAAATGCGTATCATCCTTAAATTCGGGAAATTGTTCGATATTAATTCCTATCATCATATACATGGCGCCGTTGGGCATAATGGGGTTCAAGCCGCGAATCTTCTTGAGCATTCCATATGCTAGATTGGCATTTTCGCTTAGTATATCAATGACGCTGTCGAAATAACTTTGTGGGGTTTTCTCTAAAATATCTGGCAGAGCACCTTGAATCAAAGTATTGGAACCCAAAATTCGACCACACAAACTTCGCAATCCCTTGGCAACTTCAGCTATGCGATTTTCGCGATCATGAATTATCACCCAGCCGGTACGCCAGCCAGGTACAATAAAACGTTTCGTTAAACCACCACACGATAGAACTGGAACATTCTTTGACAGAGAACTGACAGCATAATGTTTGGATCCAGGAAAAACAAAATGTTCATAGACCTAAAAATCAAAAACAAAATTAAATCCATGTTTCTTATTTAGAGATCAACTAACGTATCTTACCTCATCGGCAATAACGGGCAAATAGTATTTCTCACAGATGGCCAAAATATCTTCCAAATGTTTTTTGCTGAAAACACTGCCACAAGGATTGCTGGGGTTGTTAATAACAAGGGCGGCAGTGTTTTCATCAATCAACGATTCCAATTGTTGCAAATCGCATTCCCATTGTTTTTCCGGCAATAGATCGTAGAAACGCACTTGTATGCCCAGACCTTCGGTCAATGTTTGATATAAACAAAAACCTGGACGAGGTATCAAAATATTTTGACCCCTCTCGGCTAAAGCCAAAATCGAATATTCCAATGCCGCTGAACAACCACTGGTTATGCAAATATTCTCGGGTTTTATTTCTTCCGAACTCTGATGGGCACTGTATTTGGCAATAGCTCGGCGAGCAAATTCATGCCCTTGCGTATGAGCGTAACCATTGTATTTACCACTTTCAATGGACTTCAAAACGGCTTTTATGGTCTCATCAGAGGCCTTAAGATTACCAAAAGTCGTGGGATCGCCTGAAAGAAATTAAAAAAAATACAATTAAATGAGTATTACCATAAAAAGAGATATCGAAAATACAGGGTGAGATGAAAAAAACTGCAACCAACTTCAGACTGCTGCCACTCGTCCGACAGCTGTTAAAATTATTCCAGTGACAGCTCAAAAAAAAGTATTTGTGATGGAATTCAAACGTGATAGTGTAATTTCTTTACATTTGGCTGGAAAACCACAAATGTATATCGTTAGAGCACTCCAGCATTTAAATGAGAATAAATCCTTAGTGTCTCGTATTATTGCTCGTTACCGTGATACTGGTACCGTAGCCCGACATCAAGGAAGTGGACGAAAGAAAACAGCTACATCAGCAGAAATGGTTCCAAAAAAGTAAAGAAGCGACTTGATCGAAACCCGCGTCGCAGTGGCCGAAAAATGGCTCGTGAGCTGAACATATCGCAATATTCTATTCGGCAAATATTGAAAAAAGAGCTAGGTGTAAAGCCATTAAAATTCCAAAAAGTTCATGAACTTCCACCGTAACAAAAAGAAAATAGTCTCAAAAGAGCTAAAGAGTTGCTTCGCTTGGCCGAAAGTGATGAACTGCCGAATTTGGTTTTCTCCGATGAGAAAACATCTGTTGTCCAGCAGTTTGTAAACAAACAAAATGATCGTGTTTACATGCTAAAGAGGTCAGCTGAAAATGTGCACCTTCGGTTGACTACCAGAACTCAAGCGCCGGCCATGGTGATGGTGTGGGCCGCCATAACAGCCGATGGTCGCTCTCCGCTCAGAATAAATGCGGAATATTATTGCGAAAATATTCTGGAGGGTGTATTGAAGCCTTTGGCACGCAAACATTTTGGTCGCAGACTTAGGACATTCCAACAGGACTCAGCACCATCGAACTCAGCACGCGCCACCCAAGAATGGTTGCAAAATGAGGTTCCTCCCTTTATTTCCAGCGCACAATGTCCACCAAAATCTTCGGATACCAATCCGATGGACTATTGTGTCTACAGTATTTTGGAAAGCAAGGTTGGCACAAAATAATACCAAAGTGTCGATCACCTCAAGCGCTTATCCGGAAATGGGCCAAAATACCGCAGAGCAACATTCGGACAGTGTGTGACGGTTTCATTGGCCGTTTGAAGGCCATAATTCGTGCCAAAGGTGACCAATTCGAACAAATTTAAACTTATTCTAAAATGTTCATGTTATTTCCGACATTTTTTGTTTTTATTCAAAAAATTTTAAAAAGAATGTAAAAATTATGGCTTTTGACATTGTTGCAGCTTTTTCATCTCACCCTGTATATACACTGATATATTATATATAAAATGAATGAAATAATAATTGGATTCGGTAAAGAGTGTGAAAGTAGAAGAAAAATTAAATTATGTTTACAGTCCTGATATTAACGCACATGGGTTAATAAATCTAGTGAATAAAATTGCTCGTTTAGGGGGATATAAATGCCTCTAAAGATCAGCTGACTGACATTTTATATAATTTGAAACTTGTCTAAACATTTGACGGATTTGAAAATTGTATTTATTAGAAATGGAGTCGATTTAAAATGTCATAAAAAATTGTTCACACTGGATGTAATAAGAGCATATACATTTAGAGAAAATTGAGTATGTAAGTTGGCCGAATGTGTTTTCCAGAAGTCGACGGATGTGCTTTCATTACAGCAAATACCTTCTATGGACAATCTGTGACTCTTAAATGAGTTAATATGTTCCGCCACATAATACATTGTAATAATTTTTAATTAAGGTACAGATTACAATTTTAAGTTTAGCATAACATTTGCATAGATATCTCGAACTACATATTATAAATTCTTAGTGTGTCCATATTTAATAAAACTAAGCAATACAATATGCCATAAAGAAACTTTTTGAAATGACAAAACAGCATATGACATCATATTTTAAATGTAATGCACCAGTAATTACCATTCATGTATTTAATGATTATGATTCACAGTATTGTATGACAATCGGAAGCTATCACGGGTGTTACAAACATTTACATATGTATGCTACCTTATTATTTAATTTACACTCAATATTAAATTACACATAGGTACATGCTATTTCATCAGACAGACTGTTACTAACCAAAAAACATTTTTTAAGGTAAATAACTCATAACATCTTAGAATATGATTATGAAAGGATACTGACGACAAATGTAACTGAGCAAAAAAAAAAAATACAGAAACATTTAAATAAAAGGAAAAAGTTACAAGATGTTTTTAATGTTAGTCAATTAACTGGCCCGCATTCGTAATACATAAAAAAGGTACACCTAAGAACACATTCTATACGAATAATAATTTAACTAAGTAAAAAAACAAGCAAACAACTTTTGAACATGGCACAAGATAAAATGTGCCACAAAAGCTTTTTCGACAAACAACTGTTCATATGAGGAGGCTCGTATTTTGTCAAGTTTTTTTAAGCTTTGTTATCTCAGATAATAGAAGTTTGCTCAGCATTTTACCTAATAACATGGTGAAGAACTTCCTATATAAGCCTTATATTGCATTTATACAATTGAGGATTTATAGATCTAGATAAGATACACCCCTGGGGGGATATAAATGCCGCTCACCTGATGTTTTGTTGCGTATGTAAACAACCAAAAAAGAATACAAACAAATGTCATCTTCAAAAAAAAAACTTCAAATATCAAACAATTCCGGTGAATAATGTCGCTAAAATCATCAAAATACGGAATATAAGTAGGCACCGTTATATGGGAGCTATACGAAGACCTGACCTGCATAGACAGTTTTCTGTCATAGACTTTAGTACCCTTTAGGAACTTCAAATACGAAATATGAAACAATTCCGGTGAATAATGTCACTAATATCATCAAAATACCGAATATAGGGAGGTAACGTTACATGGGGGCTCTACGAAGACGGGGCCTACATAAGTAATTTTTTTCGTAGGCTGTAGTGCCCATTATGAACTCTAAATACAAAACAATTCCGTTGAAAATGTTCTAAAAATCATCAAACGTTGTATGGGGGATATACGATATCTTGAACCGATGTAGCCCATCTTCAAACTTGACCTGCCTGCATACAAAAAACTGATGTGTGCAACATTTTAGCTACCAATTTTATTTCTTTTTGACTCTAGCGTGACTAGAACTTTATACTGATCAAGAAATATATACTTTGTTAAGTCTAAAATTATTATTTCGATGAGTTACAAACGGAATGACGAACTTAATATACCCTCCATACTATCTATGGTGGAGGGCACCAAAATACTGGTATGATTGCCAGTTGTACGCTCACATCAAAGAAAGAATTACAAAATAAACAAGTTAAAAAGCAGTAAGTTCGGCCGGGCCGAACTTTTAATACCCTCCACCATTTGCAACGAATTTGGAAATTTTCAAAAAATAAAATCCTTAAAAAATTCTGTTAAAATTTTAAAAATACCGAATATAGCCGTTATTTTGGGGTCTATACGACGTGGACATACATAGGCATTGTTTGTCATATACCATTACCATATTCAAATTCGAAACTTGAAATAAACGGTGAATAATGTAGCTAAAATCATCAAAATACCGAATATAGGGAGGTACCGTTATATGGGGGCTATACGAAGACCTGGACCCGCACAGACAATTTTCTGTCACAGACTGTAGTTCCCATAACGAACTTCAAATACCAATTTTAAAACAATTCCGGTGAATAATGTCGCTAAAATCATCAAAATACCGAATATAGGGAGGTACCGTTATATGGGGGCTATATGAAGACGTGGACCTGCACAGTCAATTTTCTGTCTTAGGGTGTAGTATCCATTTTGAACTTCAAATACCAAATTTGAAACAATTCCCGTGAATAATGTCGCTAAAATCATCAAAATACCGAACATCGGGAGGTACCGTTATATGGGGGCTATACGAAGACGGGGCCTACATAAGTAATTTTTTTCGTAGGCTGTAGTGCCCATTATGAACTCTAAATACGAAACAATTCCGTTGAAAATGTACTCAAAATTATCAAAATACCGAATATCGGGGAAAACGTTGTATGGGGAAATATGATATCTTGAACCGATGTAGCCCATCTTCAAACTTGACCTGCTTGCATACAAAAAACTGATATGTGTAAAATTTTAGCTACCAATTTTATTTCTTTTTGACTCTAGCGTGACTAGAACTTTACACTGATCAAGAAATATATACTTTGTTAAGTCTAAAATTATTATTTCGATGAGTTACGAACGGAATGACGAACTTAATATATCCTCCATACTATCTATGGTGGAGGGTATACAAATGAAGGGCACCAAAATACTGGTATGATTGCCATTTGTACGCTCATATCAAAGAAAGAATTACAAAATAAAAAAATTGACAATGAACAACTCATAGAGTGTTTATTTTCATCGAAAATAAAGTTGGAAAAGAATCAAAAGATTTCGCATTTCAAGAGTTAATGTTAGAAGTCTGGTCCGACTCATGTTTTTCGAATGTGAAAAACAAAATACATATTTGTCCAACGATATGGTATTAGGTGTGTCTGGTTACCCTAAAATTTGTAACAATTGTTACAAATTGTTACTGGAAGTCGTCTGTTAACCCAAAAGTTCTGCAAAAGAGAGCGGTTGGAGAGAGAAATTTTGACAGTTCTTTCAGTGAGAGTTTGCAAATTCTTTCTGGAAAAATTTCTTCTTGCAATCACTTGCAACTCTTCTTCTTCTCATTCATCGACATTCAATCAGATGTTTTCTATTGTTTGTTTATTTATTTTTGTGCTTTCAATTTGAAATTTTTTTTTTTGGAATTAGCAAGACTAATAGTTTTTGGAGAAAAACTTTACAAAATGTGAAAAACGAAAATGTTAATATGTAATAAGAAAATAAAAGACTATTTCCAACATTTTTATTTAAAAAAATTGTAAAATTAGTATTGCTTCCTTTGTTTTAATTCTCTATATGGGGGACAAATTGGTTTGTTTTGATTTGATCAGCTGAT